CCACCCCCCCCAACTTTCCCCTTCCACCCCCCCCCAAGGGGTCTCAGTCCCCATCCCAGCCCCAAGCCAAGAGCTCCCAACTCCAGTTCCCAATCCTGGCAGCCAACAGAGCCTGTGCAACATTTATCACTGAATAATTCTCCCTCAAACGACAGGAACTATTTTAAACCTGCTGAGCTCCATGTGCCAGACACCACCTGCCCCCCCCTCCACCCCTTCAAGACAGCAGGGAATCCATGGGGATGTTTTTTGGGGCTGGGGGAGGTCCAGGTTGCACACCCAGGTCTGCAGCCAGGGAGCAAAGCCCCCAAGTTGCAGGGATCTGTCCCAAAAAGGCACCTCCAGATTTCTTCAGGAAGATAAAACCTGGTCAGCAGCTCCATCACTGTCACAACCTCACCAGTTCTCAGGGGTGGGACGGAGCCAAGCGACGCCCAAGGCTGATCATCCCAGCTTTGCTGTGACCCTGGGATGACACAGGAGGGGCCAATCCCACCTTGTCCCCTGCCAGGTGATCCCAGGACCCCCAGGGCTCTGTGTCCCCCCCCCCCTTGCTGGAGCAGAACTGGAGACAAGAGGGGCTGGCAGGCGGGATGTGCCGCGTCCGGATGGAATGGTTCTTGTTTATTACAGTTTAAATCTCACAGTCGGTAGCATTACATGAGAATAAAGCACTGGACAGGACTGGAAAAAAAAAGGCCTCTGGAGACAGCATGCAAACATTGCAACGAGTTTTAAAGCAAAACAACCCAAAAATAAAGAAAAGAAAGCATCTGGTGGGGACACGGCCGGTGGCGAGTCCAGCATCTCCCCTGGAACCATCACTTCTGTCGTTGGGGGTTTCCTTTCCACGTGTCCATTTCATTGGCTTTATTTATCTTTATTATTATTCTTCTTTTATGAACCTTCTCTTTTTTTTTTTTTCTTTTTTCCTTTTTCTGCTGTGATCCACAATAGCTGGGACAGTTTTCTCTTTTCTAGACTCAGACAGACCACAGTAATGCAGAAAATCTCAGCAAGTGGTTTGCCTAAAAGAGAAACTTAGAAATACAGAAAAAAATATTTGATTGGTCCTTCATATTGTTATCCTTTAACCAAACATATGATTTAAAATGTCTTTAGGGAGACTGCACTTCAGCTTAATCACTTTATTTTATTTCTGTTAGATTTTGGGGGAATAAGGCTGAATGAGAGATGTAAATCAAACCTCTCAAAATGTAATGAAGCTCCTATCGTATCTGGATTCTAGCTTTATATATAGATATGGTTCTGTTATGGTCCTGAACTACACTCTTTGGATCCAGACACCTATAAATCTTGAGCAAGTTTACAGTCTTTTTTGAATTTGGACATATTTCTGTCTGGCATGTACCTTTCCAAATGTAGAGAGGATTTATCTGTTGTGTAGGACAGATATTCAGAACCCTTTGTGTCTACATCTTAAACTCTAAGGGATTGTTTAAGGGGTTTCAGACGCAAAGATTTTCTGATTGATTCTGTTGTTTTTCAGATGAATATAAAATTGTTCTAACTAGACTGGTTTTGTAGGATTTAATGAAGACTTACATAAATTCCCCTGAAACACTTTCTGATGGAAATTCTTAGGTTAGGGTGGAAGAAGGGGAGTGGGTTCACACAGCAAAAGGGGGTTCAGCTCCCTCCCCACCCCTCAAATCAAAAGCAGGAGAGGGGAATCGGGGTGGGCGTCACTTACGATTCGCGGATAAGGCACTCGCCCGAAGGAGTAGATTTCCCAGAGGAGGATCCCAAAGCTCCACACGTCTGACTTGGTGGAGAATTTCTGGGAAAGGGAGAAGAGAGGCCCCATGAAGGGGTTTCAGGCAGGGGTTGGGGGGCAGCTGTTTTTTTTTGGGGGTCAGACAGCAGGAAGTGGGGTTCCACCTCGGGATGTGTCCAAACCTGGGGTGTGTTCCCTTTCCCCGCTGCAAGGAGACCCCCCAGCTCTGCTCACCCACCTTTTCTCTAAGTGCTTCTGGTGCCGTCCACTTCACTGGCAGCTTCCCCGTGTCCTGGGTGGAGGAGGCTTCTTTGGTCAGCCCAAAATCACTGACCTTGGCAATGTTGTCCTCCGAGACCAGGACGTTCCTCGCTGCCAGGTCCCGATGGACAAAGTTGTTGGCTTCCAGGTACTCCATGGCTTCACAGACATCTCTGGTTGGAGTGGGGAGGAGAAGAGGGTTTAGTGACCCCAAAAATGCAAGTGGGTGCAGGGTCCGGGGGGGGTGGGCACGGCTGGCCTACTTACAGGGAGGAATTCAGCAAGCCGGCTGC